AGGGCATCCTGACCTTAGAGGCCCGAGCCCTGGTCAGCAGCATACATCGTATTGCCACCACGGTGTTTGGGTCCCACATACGTCAGTTGCTGCTCTGTGACAATATGTCGGTCGTGCTAAGCTTCAATCGAGGGAGGAGCTCTTGTTTCAACTTGTTGGTCCAGATTCGTCGATTTCATGCTGTCCAGTCTGAGCCGAAATATTCGTTGTTCGGTTCGTTGGATACCCAGCGAGCTCAACTGTGCCGACCTCCCCTCACGGCTATTTGATCCTGACGGCGCAAAGTCCACCCTTCTGGCTGAGCTGTTGGAGCTCGAGGGCTCCCAGGCGGGCTCAGAGCGGGTTCCCGCCTGGTCCGCACCTGAGCGGGTAGCCGGTGGCGCCGCGGCCCGCGATGCTGCCTGTGCGCCCGCGGACGCCAGGCGGGCGTGGCCGCTGCCTCGGCCCCCTGCAGGTCAGACAGGGCGCGAGGCCAGGGGCGGGACGCCGGCGCACACAGCGGCTGGCGCCGTCTCGCCTAAGGCCTGGCCTGGGGACGTCTGCCCAGGGTCAGGAGGCAGGATGCCCGCGGCAGCTTGCCCCCCTGCCGCCAGTCGCGCCGCGGCCGTCGCCGGCAGCTCGGCGGGGGCGTCAGCTGGGCGAGTCGGAGCTCCTGAAGACAGCGGTGCAGGGCCGTCTCCTGCCGCGGAGCCTGGAGCAGATGGCGGAAGACCTGAAGGAGGTGCCTGTGCCAGTTGGGCCCGCTCAGGGAGCGCGAGAGAGCGACGGCTCCTCCGGCAGCGGGAGCTCCGAGCCCGAGGTCGAGACCGGCGCCGCGCGGCAGCGCAGGCTCGCGCAGTCGCACGGGCGCCTTGCCCGCCACTACGGGATGACCACTGGCAAGAAGGGGCCCCCTTACCTGGAGAGGGAGGCCGTGTGGATCCCGCCGTTGCGCGAGTACCAGAGGGCTGCGAACATTGGCGAGGTCATGGAGAGCTGGGACGATTCAATGGTGATCTCGGCGATGGTGGGCCAGCTGACCGGACTGCGCCAGACTGGGACTCACCCCTTCTGGGCCGAGAGGCTGATGGTCGGCGGCCTGCGCTTCAACCCCGACATGTCGAGCTACGGTGCCCGGCGCCCCCCCCCGGGCTGGAGTTTCTGGACCCTGAGGCTCTTCCCGGAGGAGAAAGGCCCGTGGGAGAGAGCGGGCCTGGAGGGGGTGTCGCTAGAGTCAGACTCGCCCTGGATGCGTTTCTTGGGCCCTGTGCCGAGTCAGATGAAAAAGGGGATGCACCCCGAGTACCCGTGGAACTTCACGTGCCCAGAGTACCGCAGGATGTTCAGCCTACGTCTCCAAGACCTGCCAGCAAGAGCCGAGTTGATGCCGTATCAGGTCTGCCTTTCAAGGGCCTTGGTATGCATGGCGAGGAGGTGGGGGCGGCTGGCCGAGGTGCAGACACGCTGGCAGTGGAGAGCCAAGCGCAGCGTCGTCCGCTACGAGAAGCACGCGCGCCTGGCAGCCACGTGGACAGCTCGGAGCCGCACGGTGCAAAAAGTGTTCCTGGTCTGCGGGGCTCAGCTCGCGGACATCATTTTGGATCGCGCCTCGCCGCTCGACTTGCGGGAGCTCGACCGCGTCTGACTGGCCAATATGTGGCCGACTGCTTCAGTGGCAAAGGAGGCGTGGGTCGCGCCGCAATGGCAATGGGCGTACCAGCCAGGTTCTGGGACACGCTGCACGGGCCGGGCGGCGACCTCACCCGACGGAAGGTCCTGCGGGGCTTGTGCTCCGACATCGCCGCAGGCCGCGTCTTGGCCGTGATGCTGGCGCCGCCGTGTGGGCCCTGGACCACCGCTGCCGACCGAATGGGAGCCATCCGCTCGGCATCGCAGCCCTGGGGACTTCCGCGACATCTTCTGAGTACGAAACAGCTGGCTCGCCTGGCATCGGGCAATAAGACCATGCGTGCCGCTCTGAGCGTCATCAGATGTTGCGAGAATTTTAAAGTCCCCTGCATACTTGAGCATCCTGTAAATTCACGCGTTTTTGTCACGAGAGAGGTTCTGGGGGTTATAGAACGGGGGGCTGTTGTAAGATGTCTCGATCAGTGTCAGGAGGGTTCTCGCTGGCGCAAACGAACCATATTTTTGTGTCTGAACATAGATGTTCAGGATAGCTGCTGCCTCGATCGTCGGTGTGGTCAGATCAACGGTATTTGTAACAAGTCTGGCCGTCCACACATCGTGCTGGAGGGCAACGCCCCGAATGGTGCGAAATGGACCGCTATCGCTGCCGCCTATCCGCCAGCCCTCATAGGAAACTCGCTAAAGTCCTTTTGAGTGAATGGCGCGCGTCGTTATATAATCACCCTTGCCCACCCACCCAGTAAACATTTTTGGGAACGGCTTGGGTTGACGGTGCCTCGCAGCTGAGCGCAAGGACGCGCAGCCGTTCGTTCATCTGTGCCCCCGCCTTGAAAAGATCTCGGGACGTCCTGGTTTGTGCTTGCACGTGAAGGAAGTCAAGATGGGGTTGTCATTATGTCGCCCCTTTGGCTCCGCTCCTTCTTGCATCGCATAGCTTCTCTGGTCCCCCGCCCCCCCGAACCCTCTCGAGCATGCGTGCACGCGCATGCTCTGTCTCATTTTTCTCTCTGTGGTTGACGGTGCCTCACAGCTGAGCGCAAGGACGCGCAGCCGTTCGTTCATCTGTGTCCCCGCCTTGAAAAGATCTCGGGACGTCCTCATCTTGGGATGGGCTCGGCTGCTGGCGCTCCCGGAGGACTCGCCTGTCGCGCCTGCAGGCCGCGGTCGCCCACGGCGGGGGGACGTGGCTCCAAGACGCGGCGGCGGTGGCGCAGAGCCTGGGGGTGGGGCCGCCACCAGAGGCGCTGTTTGCCGAGGCAGCGGGCGGGCCCGTGGCCCGCCGCAGCGCAGCACGGCGATGGGCGCGGTCCGTTGTAACCCCCCGCGTGCGCGAGGTGGGGCGGGAGTGGTTTTGCGAGCAGGTGGCCAAGCTGAACGAAACGGGGCCGCTCCCCATCGCAGCAGTGCTCCCCCTGCGGCAGGCGTGGCTGGCTGACCTACGGTGGGCCTCCTGGGGGCAGACCCAGTGGCGCTTCCACCGCGCCTGGTGCATAGCGCGGGTCACGTCGGAGCTGCCCACGGCGATCTGGGGCAGGGCGGCCACCCGCATGCCGATCACTTGCGCCCTGTGCGGGCGCGATGCGGCAGGTCTGCATCACCTGCTGGCCCGGTGCTCGGGCACTGAGGCGCTGCGTGCAGCCCTCGTTGAGGAATGGGCGCCCCCGCCTGGCCTGGCCGAGTGGGTGCTCATGGACACGGACAATCGGGAGGAACTCGCAGCGAAGGTCCGGTTCCTCGGGCTCTCGTGCGCGGCGCTGGTGCACGCAGCTTGCGGGTGAGCAGGCACAGGGTGGGCGAGGCGCGGCGGCCCTGCGCCTGCGCGTGGGCTGTGGGCACTAGCCACTTGCCTTCCCCCGACCTTGGGTTGGGATGGCAGCCAGTCGCTGGCGCCTGTCGCGCGGGGCTGCGGGCTGGCCTGGCCCGATGGCCGGGGCCATCGTGCCGGGGTCAGGCGGGTCGGCGGCGGGATCGCTGGGCGTGCCATGGCGCCGGTGGCTGGGTTCGCGTCGGCCGGGCTCCTCCTCTGCAGGGAGGTTTCGGGGACGCCGGGCAGGGCCGCCAGGGCGCCGTCTGCTCAGCGCGCGGCGCTGCTGGCCGGCTTCGCCGGAGGCCCGGCTAGCTTCGCCGGGGGCTCGGAGCGAGCCACCTGAAGAGGTCAAGGAGGTCGTTCGACTGGCGCCGCTGGCCCAATGCGTCGAAGGTCGCCCTCCCCTCCGTCGTCCTCGTCGTCTCCCTTCGTCTCGGTGGTCGTGGTCGTCGTCGTCGTCGTGGTCGTCGTCGTCGTCGTCGTCGTCGTCGTCGTCGTCGTCATCGTCGTCGTCGTCGTCGTCGTCTTCGTCCTTCTCCCCGTCCCCTCCTCCTCTGGCGTCCTCCTCCTCCTCCTCCCGTTTTCCGCCGGTCGCCCGCTCCCTCCTCGTCGTCGTCCTCATCGCCTCCCTTCGTCTCCGTCGCCCCCCTCGCCGCGGCGGGCGAATTGCGCCGTATCCCGGTCTGGCGGAAGGACGGGCCAGGGATGCCCATCACCGACCGCTGATTCGAGCCAAGGGCGAGGTGCCTCTCTTCTTGCCCCTCCACCCCCCTCCGCCTCCTCCCCCCCCACGCTTCGGAGCCGCGCTGGAACCTGCGGGTTACCACTGGGTTCTCACGCAGGCCGAGCCCGCCCAGCCCGCCCGACCGCTCTGGCGGCCTGCCCCGCATTCGCGAACAGGCCGCTCGAGGGTGGGGGGCTGCGGGGCCTACCCAGCGTTAGGGCAGGGCCCTGGGGGAAGCGCAGCGCGGCCGCGCCGCCCGGCCTTCTAGGCGCCCCCCCCTGGGCGCCGGCCGGGGGGAGGCGGCCAGGGGCCCGGGGGCACGGACCCGTAAGCAGGCGTTCCCCTTCCAGGGCGCTGGCCCGCCGACCCCGACTGCGTTGGCCCATAGGCCCTCCGGGGTGGTGGCGCTCGCGGTGGGGCGGTCGGCCCTGAGGGGTCTTTCACCTTATGAGCAGCCCAATGAGCAGTCCCTCCTCCTCCCTCCTCTTCCCTCCTACCCCTCGTCCTCCACTGACCTTCCTCCCCCCTCCCACGCTCCTCCTCCTCCTCCTCCTCCTCCTCCTCCTCCTCCTCCTCCTCGTCCTTCTCCTGTTCCTGCTGCTGCTGCTGCTGCTGCTGCTGCTGCTGCTGCTGCTGCTGCTGCTGCTCCCCCATCCTCCTCCTCCTCCTCCTCCTCCTCCTCCTCCTCGGCCTCCTCGGCCTCCGCTTCCTCCTCCACCCGCTTTTTCTCCTCCTTCCCCTCCTCCCCTCTCCCTCCTCCTCCTCCTCCTCCTCCTCCTCCTCCTCCTCCTCCTCTTCCTTCTCCTTCTCCTCCTCCGCCCTCGTCCTGCCCTGTTGCAGGAGGGCGCGCGCGGCACGGGCGGCGGCCGGGTGACGGGCTCCCAGCCGTCCACACGCGGCGCTGACGCGCGGCGGGCGAGGGGCGGCCGCCGAGGCCTCCCCGCGGGTGCCGCAGCGGCCTGGTCGCCGAGGCGGCTGGCCAGGCGGCGGTGCGCAGCAAAGATCCCCTCCCTCCTCCTCCTCTCTCCTCCTCCTCCTCCTCCTCCTTCTCCTCCTCTCCTCCTCCTCCTCTCTCCTCCTCCTCCTCCTCCTCCTCCCCCTCCTCCTCCTCCCCTCCTCCCCCTCCCCCTCCTCCTCCTCCTCCTCCTCCTCTTCTCCTCCTCCTTCTCCTGCTCCTACTGCTGCTGTTCCTCCCCCTCCTCCTCCTCCTCCTCCTCCTCCTCTCCTCCTTCTCCTTCTCCTCCTCCTCCTCCTCCTCCTCCTCCTCGTCCTCCTCTCCTCCTCCTCCCTCCGCTCTCCCCTCTCTCCTCCTCTCTCCTCCTCCTCATCCTCCTTATCCTCCTCCTCTCCTCCCCCTCCTCCTCCTCCTCCTCCTCCTCCTCCTCCTCCTCCCCCTCCTCCTCCTCCTCCTCCTCCTCCTCCTCCTCCTCCTCCTCCTCTGTCCGTAGCCATTTTGGCTCAAGCCAATTCGGTCTGCAGCGGGCGCGCGCGCACGCGAGGGCCGAGGCAGCAGGGCGCGCACCATCGGCGGCGGCGGGTTGATGCTCGCTGTACGTCGGTTCGCGGCTTGAGGGGGCCGCCAGAAGCCGCTGCTAAAGTTCCTGCTTCCCCAGTACATGACCCGCGGCAGAGGCTGGCGACAAGACGACGATGCCCAAGCGACGTGGGAGGCATCATGGGGAGCGCCGTGGCGACGTATGCCGTCGCGCTCAGCCAGCCGCACACCGCCTAACACCAAGGGCCAAAAGCAGACGCAGTACCTGGTATGCTCTACTTGTCCTGTGGGCAGTGGCAATTGGGTATACTGCAACCGGGCTGGCAAGCCTGGATGGACCAACTGCAAAACATGTGGACAGGAGTGGCAAACACCGTCTACTTCGAAGCCGCCAGCGGGAGGCCAAGCCGTCCAAGATGCAGCTCAGCCGATGGTGGACCTTCTCAGGAAGCAGTACATCGCGGCGCGTGAGCAGAACGACCAGCCCCGCATGGACGAGATCCTCGCAGCTTGCCGAGGCGCCAAGCCACCAGACCCTGCAGCGGTCACCGTGTCGTCCACGGGTCAGGTGCTCCAGGAGGCGGTCGCAGAGCTCAACCGACTCCAGAAGCACCAAGATAAGTTGGCCAAGCAACTCAAGCGTGCCACCAAGTATCGCAACGACGTGCCCCAGCGGATCAACACCAATGTGGCCGAGCTGGCAGAAGCAAGGCGGCAGTTCCAAGAGGCAGAGGCTGATGTTGGAGAAGTGGTACCATAATCAGAGCCTGCCAAGAAGCCAGATGATGACGAAGAGGCCTTCCCCACCTTGGAAGAAGAAGAGTTGGCAATGTTGGACGCTAAGCTTAAAGAAGAATAAGGACATAGCCAGAAATATTTCCAACAGGCTAAGCAGTGCATCGAGGGCAGGAAGACAGCCGCCACCAACGCGAAGAAGGCGCTCGACGCAGCCAAGACGCTCAAGACTAAGGCCTGCGAGCGGCGAAAAGGAGAAGATGGAGCTGACGCCAAGTCGGAGCCAGACAAGGAAGCTGGAACCGCAGCAACACCAGCGGTGCCAGGAGCAGCACCATCAGTCATGGACCCGCAAATCGAGCTCGCCAACCAGTACGACCTCTCAGATGATGCCCAGGTCCAGGCCTACCTCGCGAGGCTGGCCCAGATCAAGAGCAGGACGAAGGTCGCCGTGGCTACGAAGCAGAGCTCCTAACCACCGCCAGGACTTCGCTGACGTGGAGGCCGAAATCGAGGGCTTCGCACTAGCAGCGTCTGCAGCGAAGGGGGGTGGGCCAAACGTGGCCACTGCTGCCGCCGGCGTATCAAGCGGCAAATCCCCACTCGCAGCAGACCTTCATCGAGGACCGAGCGGCCCGCCCAAGCTGGCGTTCCAGAAGCAGGTCTGGTTTGACGACGAGGTTGGCTACATCATCGAGAGTGCGTCTACTCGAGCAGATGATGACCCAGGCAACTCTCGGTCGCGTCTATCATCGGGGAGTTCTTATTCTTCGCCATCATCGGAATACCTAGTCCGTGCAGGTGTGCAAGGTACTGGTCGCGGGTTCCAGGCCGAAGGCGACGAGAAGCATAACCATTTCGACGAGGCAAAGACCCCCGTCGCAATTTTCATGGCCAACATAGCGTGGTGCAGCGCGGCCGCCAAGACGTACATCGAGGGCAAGAGCAATCAGTATGACATCATGGCGCTCAATTGGCACCATTTGCGTGGGCCAGCAGCGGAGATCGAGGCCAGTCGGCTGATGAAGTATGGTTGGCGACCCCATGGAACTTGGGCTCCAGCGAGACCATCCCCGCGTTCGAAGAAAGGCACCTTGGGAGGCACCTGCATACTTCGACGTCGACATCTGGACACGCGTGCACACCTGCCAGGCGCGCAGGGCTACAGTATCTTCGCCAGGGGGTTCACGACATCTCCATGACCAAGTGGCAGCTCAAAGGGCAACATATTGCAGTTATCACCTCATATCTTACGGTTTCAATTGGCTTCGCTGGCGAGAAAATCCGCAAGATGAAGCACATGTTGCGGTTGGCGAAGAGCTTGGGCAATATGCCTTTGATAATTTGCGGCGGCTTCAACGACGCGCCCCGGAAATTTTGAGGCGACGCCCTGGCTTAAACTACTTGGAGGATTTATTGTCGTGCCCCAGCACGTTAGTCACACGTGCAGCAGCGGACCGGGGCGCCTCATCGACTATGTGAATATGCCCCCAGACTTTCGGCCCCTAATCAAACAAGTACGAGCTGAACATGATGTACCTTGGCCACCGCGCATCGGCATCGTCGTCGAACTATGGGCCAGGCCCTCGACCATCCTCATACGACAGCCCATGCCCCCAGCTAAGCGGCCCATCCCCATGGCAGAAGTTACGCGTGAGAAGGGCATCAAGAGGCAGCAGAGGGATCGTACTCACTGCATCGAGATGGCCCAGTACCTTGAGGAAGACCTCCTAGACAGTAAGTTGCTGGATAAGAACTATCCGGGGACGGTCACCAAGCGCTGCGACCAGACCAGCTGGGCGGAGTGCCAAAAGGAGGAGGCATCCTGCCGAATCCGCGGTGCTTCAGCGTGGGTACGGAACTCGTTAGCTTACCAGCAGGGCCCGAGGATGGGCGAGCTTCTTCGGCGATTATATGGCAAATGGGCGAATGCTGCAGAGCGGGCTTTGTCAACCAGCACTGGTGCACCGTTACTTTCGCGAGCTCGTCGCGGCCAGCCGACGCGTTGCGAAGAGGCGCCGCATCCGCGGCATATCGCAGGCAAGCCAAAGGGCGACACCAAGGCGGACGGGCAGCGGCGCATCGGCACCCTCTGGACATCAATGTGCCATAGATGCCGAGACGGATCCCTGCTCCTCCAGAGACGCCCCATTGAGAGTAAGCCCCGCTTGGGGGCCATCTGTGTCATCATCAAGAGTGTAGCCAGCCAGATCGACAAGCTTGAGAGCGCGAAGGTAGCCGAGGCGGATTACTTGGACAACCAAGCTGCTCTTTTCGCTCGGCGTGTGAGCAACCTTGGCCATGGCCCTGGCCCTGAGGTAAACGCCGGGAACGTCCAGGAGTGGCAGGACGCGGTAGAGGCTACGCGGCTCCGAATGGAATGGCATAATTCTCAAGTGTGGAAAAAGGTCAGAGAGCAGATTGGACAGTGGACGAGGACGGCCTTGTCGAGCAATATGCGTGGTGCGCACAGGTACGTCAGCAAACGTGAACGACGAGACCTACCTGATACGGCAGTGGACCCAATCAGCAAAGAAGAAACGGGGGCGCCGCGGGAAGCTACGGGGTGCCGCGCAGGGGCATGGCCGACAGGATGGCAGAGGCATAACAATAGCGAGCGGCTCGAGCAGGTCATGACATAACTTCGACGAGCAGCTCAGGCCGAACTTCCTCAGCGTGCGTTCTACGATGTTAACGACCTCGAAGCTGCACTTTCCCAATTTCATCCCACGACGGCGCGAGGGCCCGATCGATGGCAGCCACCTGGGATCAACGCCTTACCAGGCGACGCCAAGCGTAGCGTCGTCTTCGTGATAAACTCATGCGAACGCAACTTGTGCTGGCCTCATCAATTTTACCATCGTTGGTACCATCTATTGGTAAAAGCTGGCTCCAATGCAGCAGGCGAGGGGCGCCCGATTGGATCATTACTTTTCCCTGTGCTACTTTGGGATAAGATGGCAAAATCGGAAATGCAAGAACGGTGCGCAGAAAAGGCAGGGCACTGGGATGCAGCGGTTCAAGGATCTTCAGCTTTACGCGCAGCACTACTGTCGATGGCTCTCGACGAAACCAGCGCGGAGCTCAAGGGATCGCTCTACGGCGCCTTCTACTTAGACCTGGGGAAATTCTACGACAGCGTGGACCTACTCATCCTGATTTGGAGGGCAATGCAACTCAAGTATCCAGCGATTAATTTCTAAATGGGTGTGCTGGTGTGTCTCTCGCCGCGTAAAGTGAGAGCCTGCCATGATCATGCAGAACCCATATGCCCATGGAGTGGCATAGTCGCAGGATGCGCTGCAGCTAACCATGCAGCGAGGGCCATGATCTACGCCATATTGGGTAACACGCACAATGCAGCACCACTGGCTATTGCACGCGAGTTTGTCGACGACCTACACGCCAGAGTTGAAGGGCACCCTGCTGACTTCAAGGAACGGTTCCCTGTGGCAATCGTTACCATGGTACAAGCATGCTTGGAGTAAGCTGGCGGTTTCAGGCAAGTTGGCACTCCTCACGAACAGCATCGAGACCAAGAAGCACATCGTGAGGCAGATGAAGCAGAACGGCATAGGGGTCAAGACACCGAAATACGTAAAGGACTTAAGCATTGATGCGGCGCTTGGACGGCGCCGAGTCACAGCGACGCGCACGACCAGGACGAAGCAGGCCAAGCTAAGAGCTAAACGGAGCAAGCTTTTCAGCAAGCAGAAGGGACGTTGGCGCCGCAGAACAGCCATGCTTTTCAAC